GCATCGGCTTAAACTATGCATATCATCTCACGCATTTTCACTGAGTACAACAAAAATAAAACTACTACGACATCAGGTTGACGTTCTTTTGATATCGTGGTACTTCCAGAGTGCGAGTTCCATCCCGTCATCTATGCTTTAAAATGAAACTCCTTGATTAATTTCCGAAACTATAAACTAATGTGACTTTCAAACTTCAGGGGAAAATAAGAAGTATTTCAAAAGATTTGACTTCTTCATGAGTGGAACTTAATGTTATGGACAACTGCGCGTAACTTTACTACCCCAAAAACGAATGTAATGTTCCTCAGCAGTGGGCTCACTCTTATCGTGAACATATTTAGTACCGTAAGTACACTTGTAGAACTGATAGAGCGTTCGACTAAAGAGGATTATCAGCTACCTTGAGAACAAAAGGGCTGTAAAGTCAGTGCATGCAGTGTTCCATTCCATCATCCTTCAGATGCAACGATTGCTCCGGTTTATATTAGTAATCGTTACAAAAAGTTTTGGTACTTATTTCACTAGTCATTTGACGACAGTATCCATTTAGCGGCTCAAAAATGCCCAAAGATAAACCATAAATATGCCGCTTAATTTAAAGTGCAATAGAGCTAATTCATCTGAAGCTTTGCGTAAATTACACCATACATAAACATTAGAACAGACTTGATATAATTAAAACTCGGTTACTTGTCCTAATTGACATTTTCATTTTGACAGTTTGAATGAGTATAAAAATTATTCTAGTAACAGTGTAGTGATAGTGATCATCCTTCACTAAATCAAGTATCCGGTTGTTTAAAGTGTATGCATATTTTCGACCCATTAAAGTTTGACAGTTATGAGTTTATGTACAGTTGATATGTGTGTGTGCGTACATGACATGAGATCAGTTGTTCAACGAATGCTTGATTAATCGCATGTCACTGAAAAGTCATATATTGGCCCATAATGTCATCATTTTTACTATTATTATTATTATTATTATTATTATCATTATTATTATTATTATTATCGACGGTGTAGAATGAAATAAAGTGAAATTTCAATTTATTTACCCTTTTTATTCAAATTTTCATCATGTCAGTCAAATAAAGCACTTGAGATAAAAAGCATATGGCAGTTTAATTGAGGAACTAATTACTTTACAAGACAGATTTGTTATGTATGTAAAAACAAAATACACTGATAAATAAAGTCACAATAAGATCTGTGTTATTACTTCGATGGGTCTTATACACGTATATCGAATAATTACAATAGCTTTCAAATATGAGTACGATATCAATCCACTTACAGACTAAATATATCTCCAGTGGAATAAGCCTGTTCGATCATGGGAAAAGGCAAAAAAACAGTTACAGAGGGGAAGAAATTTTCTTTTTGACCAGATCATTTACAAGGCTGTTCATTCCTGAATATAGATGCATGAGGTAGAATATTTCATAACTATTTCTGGTCAGAAGTCCAAAATATATTGACTAATGAAAAGACGTTACACCTTCTATTTAAGGATTTTGACAGTCGTTTTTGGAGGATGTCTGCATCAGTGTTATCTTTGAATTCAAGATTCAGTAAAAGAATCTTTCTAGACGCCAAGTGTGTTCGTTCAGTTATATTTCCTGGCTTTAAGTTCCTATCTATGAATCTAGGAGGGAGGCCATTTTCTACCAGGATCCTTCGAAGATTTTACAGTTCTCCTCAATACACATCTTCCTGATCCTCAAGAAATTTGGATGGATAATATTTCTGTTTCTCCTAAGAAGGGTTGAACTTTGAAAATCCATAAACTGTGCTTTCCATCTGGGCTTTCTGCAAACAGATAGGTGAACTTAATTATTATCTTTTCTTAAGAGTTGTACATCAAGGAATTGGAACATGGAGTTTGATTCTGACTCTAGTGAAGTTGATTAAGGGGTAGGTACTGCTGAAAGTACGAAGCAGGTTTTCAAGATTCGTATTTTCGTCACAAACTACAAATTCATCACCAATGTATCTTTTAAAGTTATGAAACTCATAGGCTGTTTTTGATAGGGTCATGCTTTTTATGCCTGTCGCAAAGCTGTGAACTAGGACGGGTCCTAGTGAAGAACGCATTGACACACTGTCTATATTTTGACCCGTAGCAGGAGATAATTCTAGAATTTTCAACTCCTGTTAGTAACTATTCACAAATATATAGCTCAGTTAATGTCTTCGTCGAACAGAATATATTTACACATACCAAGTGTACTATTCTACGTATGTCATTAAAGTGAAAAGTAACTCCACTATTTCATAACTTGCAACATTGCAACACAATCATTCATAAGAAAAGAGATTTACCATAGGTAAAATGAAAATAAGAACTTCAGTCTAATGTACAGGAAACTGCACTGAATTACATTTGGCTTTGGATGACTAAACATGAACGGCATGAAGATGTGAAATGTGTTACGTGGCTTGTGTCCAGTCATCAGTGAAGTATATATCACACCCGAAAAATCAGCTGAATACATAAAGTCTCGAATTTTTGCTATTTGCCTGGATTGCAACAATGTCTTGGATAACCTATTCTTAAACAAAATTCAACTTTCTTCAGAATCATTGAATTTTATTCACTGTATGGTTATTGTTGCTCTACAGTTTATACTCATAGAGTTAGGTGGCTTCAGTTCATTAATGACTGTTGTCGGACTCCAACCGCTTTAACTTTAATGATTATGAATATGGGTCATAAAGATATTTTAGATTCGAAACCAGTGTATTCACTTTTCAAGAACTGAAGTATGCCAACAAACTTCTGTCACTGGTTCATCAAAGAAACAAGCAGGGTAATGATGGATAGCAGCTGGTAGTGGAATCCAGGACGTGCGTTTCCTCCTGTTTGATACTCGCCAGCTGGGTGCACCTACCTCCCAGTGAATGATGTTGTTCCCACTAGGAATCGAATACGGGACCGTTCGTTTCAAATGACAGAGCGTTATGCACTGAGCCACTGAAGCGCGATAACAATTACTTGTGCAATAATATATATGTACATATATATTTGTTTATTTATTTATTTAATAGAAGGTAACAAGGCATCCGCGCAGGAGCCCATATACTGATAAAGACTGATCAATTTGGTCCATACAGAGAGAGAATAATACAGGTGCCAACATAAATAGGGATGTTCGAAATCTGAACTACCTAAAAAAGAGGTTTGAGTGAAGTCTTGTACAAACGTGCAGCATATCTTTCTCGCAAATCAGCAGCTGATATTGTAAAGCAAAAGGATCTTCACGAATACTAATTATTTCACTGAGTGACTGTCAGTCTGTTGGTTCCCATCAGATAACATTTCGATACTTGTTCGTGACTGTGGTTAATCGCTAATCCTTTGATGAGGTCAAACTGATAACACTGGATAATGATTTTTACCGGGAGATGGGGACTGAGGATCTCTGGATCTTAACCTTGAGGTCAAATCGTAAATCTAGAGGGAACTTCTAGAGAAGCCACAAAAGTAGTAAAAAACAACTAAAGTTCGGGCTGATTCTCTGTAATTATCTAGAATAAAACATGTAGTCAAAAATATGTGACAGATTTAGGAATTTTCTACATGTAAGCAATTTTTATCTGAGAAACGAATGTCAGAGCAACAATTACCCACCTATGAAGTATAATTAGTTTATTTATGTATGTAGCCAAAAATATGAAGTCTGTCAGAAAAACAAAGAAGGCTAGGGTGTACATTATACTTCTGGTTCATTCAATTTGTATTTTCTTTTGTCGAGAAAATAGACTTGGGTCATTGATAAGAGAGTCTGAATTGAACCAAATACAATATTTCATTGGTAGTGAAGAGTAGTTTAGTGAAACATACAACAGATTTAGGCATGAAAGTTCACATTTTGCGATGACGATATTGTCTCACATAGTTGTGAATACCTGGTTTAACCAGATAAGTAGCTGTTATTCATTGAGCTATTGGGTAAACATCATACTAACTTTTAACTGAGAAATATCTCAACAGTCTGGCAGAGGTCGAGAAACTAGGTTACCCAAATTGTTTTGAACAAGTGACGTTGATGTAGTTCCTGTTTCAAATCCATATAACTAAAATAACCAAATATAGACTTCTCGCATGTTAAGTTAATTATTCGCCTGTCTTCTGTTGAAGACTGTAACTGTATCACTCAAAAAACCAATCACCTCTCACGTAACTTTCGTAATTATGAAATCCTGAACACCACAATCGGCATTACCTGTCATTCTTTTAAAAGCCTTTCTAGAAAATAATTAGCTAATTTGAAATCTTAGCGTTTTTTCTGACCAGATTTTGAGCGTTACAGCAACAAGATGCAACGGTTACCAGCAAATTCTAATCTCTGTAACTGTGTCGACTGGAATTTCTCACCTCTACTGAATAATAGCCAGTAATAATAACCTAAATAAGAGTTCTTACAATCTTATTTCAAGGTGGTTAAGTTTAACTGAGATATTCATGTACATTAGATACCTCAACTCGCAGCATGTACAAAAACATATGGTCACCTGACTCACTGGATTGAACAAATACCACATTCTATTAACAATGCAGCGTCAGTTACTTGAAACTATTCATAATACTGAAGTAACCAGGTAAAGTATTTTGCCTGGGGCAATTTTCCGGTAGCACATTATATATATATATATATATATATATATATATATATATATATTCAACCAGCTTTTGAGTTTCAATTGTTTCCATGAATCGTTATAATTATGCACAATGAAACCCTGGTGGTGATTCCATAACAACAAAATGAAAACTGAATAGGAAGTTCAGTGGAATTATTAAGTTTAATTACTTGGTACTAAGAAACAATAAGGCAAAGCTGCCACCAAGTATCATTAATTTTAACGTAGTTTGAACAAAAATATGTTTATGTGCCCATATGAGAAAAGTCCTTTGTTAAAACCCATCTTCCTTTGAACTTCTAAGTGAAATAATGTGTATGAAGTAATCTGTGTGTAACACCATGTAAAGTTCAGATATCTGAACATTGTACTTCACTGGGCAAATTTAAGGATGAATAGCCACCAGTAGAGCTATTGGCAGCTGTAAATAATGTTTGACAAAATTAAGGGGGAAACTCTCCATCTAATTCAAAACATGACCAAGATGTATGACCAACTTAAATGATTGTGTATCAAATTCAGAATATGAAAAGCGTTCAGAATCTGATACTGAAGTTTCAGACATACTCTGTATATCATCAAGTAAAATCTGTGAAACTTGATAATCATTTATGAAACCAATAGGCATTTTTTAGTGAGACCATGTGAGACAACCTTATCTGTGCGAAGCTTTCTATTGACTGCAGAGAAAGTGGATCTGAAAGAAACCCCTAGTTATTACCGGTCGGCCATAAAAGAGACAGTCACAAGATTCAACTCTTAGCTGAGTCTCATATTCATTTCAATCGCTGCGCGCTAAACTGTGCTATCATAATTAAAAATTACTAAATAAATTAACATTAGGATATATATAGGTTGGAGTTTTGAACTTACTACGTGGAAATAACTTCAGTCCTTTTACTAATTCGCTTTCTTTCTCACCTGCATTCACCACCCTTGAGTGTCAGTTTAATGAACAGCTAAAGTAGATTAAACCCGATGAACGAAACTGCTATTAGAAATACGATATATGTGAAATGTATCTTTAAGTCTCATCATTAAAAGGAAAATTCTTGTCGCTCTAACAGTTTAGTCACCCTCTAATGTATTATCTAACCTCCACAGGGTCTTTCGAGGCATCTGTGAATTCACTGCAGTTAAGTAAGAGGGGATCGAGACAAATCAGTTATTTTTTATCCAGAAAATTTGTTAACTCTCAAACTTCATACAAAGCAAAGCTTTAGATCCACCTGGTTTCTTATTCACGTTTTGCTGATTTCTACTACTTTGATGACCTCCTTGCTTATTCCTATATCTCATCTTATTGCACTTTATCTTGATATATTGATTTGAATTGCGCCTGACTGGACCACTACGCGATAATACTACGTCCAACTTTGATACTGGCTGACTGATCATGAGCTTCTGCTCAGTCAATATCTCTAACATGGGCACCAAAATAAGTTTGAGTTTTATTATCTTACTGCAAAAAGAAAACAGTTTGACTAATATCTTATGATTTGAATGTTGACATATTTTTGCTTCGTTTTGGTGTTCAGTGGTAGAACTCAGCATCAGGAGGAAGTCCTGGACTTGGTACTTTACAGCAAGGCGTATCTACAACCTCAAGGGAAGTGACGTCCCCCATTAGATTGGAACCCATACAAACTGTCAGTGTTTACTACTTCTCTTACTTATATTTCCCATTCTACTTCACCTCAGAAGTTTATCATCTGGGTGTTTCACTGACTACGCTACTTGTTCAGTAGCCTAGATCACATGGAGTAATAAAGTACTGTTAAGGCTCATGGACGACAATGCGCCCTAATTGATTCACTCTTTAATAGCTGTTAAACAAAATCTTATGGTCTGCACATTTCAAAGCCACCTAATATGCTAATTTGGAGACTAGCGTGCATTTTTCAGACGATATTTACATTTCCTACAAACCAACAAACTATTTTCAGTAGTAATTATATTTATAAATTTTTACTAGCCATGTTTTCTATCATCCACGTAAAACATGAATATATATGAGTTGACATTATTAAACACTAATAGTTTTTGTTTAAGTTTTCACTTCTATATTAAAGAGAATCTTTGAAGTCTTTTGATGTTTCCGAAGACTAAGATATGCGCTTAGGTGAACATATATCTTTTTCTCAAAAAGCAACATTTATTCGTTAGATTATAACCGTAAATTGGAACCACTAAATTTCGAAAAAATAAATGGCTACAACTACTTTCGTCTATATATGTATATATATAAAGTTTATTCAAATTACAATAAATATTACTATATATTTATATAGCTAGGTATAAATTAGTGCATATCCTCCGACTAATACTGACTAACTATAATGACATCTCAAAGAACTATCGTTTTAAGGGCGCCAGTTCAAAACATTCTTCAAATTCTCATTAAGTGGCCCTATATATGTATATCTATTTGGAATTAATATATGTGTGTATACACAATTTCGGGACATTTTGTTACCAGATACATCTATAAACTAATCATTATTAATGATAAATTTGTATGTAAAGCTTAGTTAGGAATGAGGCATTCTTTTGATGAGATTAAAATGAACAGTCTGATTCGTCTACAAAAGAGTACAACATATGAAATAAGCCATGAGATAGAGACTTTACAATCAAATCTTTTATCGCTTACATAGTCAATAAAGTTGAATTTTTAGTCTGAATATAAATTAATTCTAGCAGGTCAATTCATTGTGAAGCTGTAGGCACTTAACACAAGACAAATAACAGTGCTCATCTTATTCATCTAACGGTATCCTTCCAGACTTTACTTTAATGTAAGATAATAACAATCTACACAGGAATCTTATCGATATGCAGTATATTCCGATTCTTGAGGCACTAATTAAGCCTGACCTATTGTTTATCGTCTTTACCGTTGATAAACTACCAGAGCTCAGAGAACACTAAACTGTTATTACTGAATCCATTATTTCCGAATTTCTCTATGATAACGAGAACTACTAGTGAGATCATTGATCAATAACATTTTTGGTGGCTAAATTATGCATCAGATCTCAAAAATACTATTGGTTTCATCTGCACATTATGTTAATTATTAACATTGAGTGCAACCAGTTGTTGGCAGATATTTAATGATGCAGTGAAGCATTCTTTGTAAAAGGTGCATCTATGTTCGATACTGACTGTATATCTTGTGTACATGAATTTGAAGAGGAAATGCCAAGCTCTATGCAAAACAAGTGTGAAGAGTGAGCATCAGTTGTGTAACCCGAAGAAACGCATGATTCTATGGGTGTAACTCAATTCTTAATTGATATTCTAAAATTGTTATTCAGTAGACTGTTTAAAGAACTCTAACTTTGAAATCTAGCAAACATTTCAATGTTATTTCTAGTCCATTGCTATACGAGAAAGTTAAAGAGATGGTGTAGACTCACAGTATTTGAGAAGTTAATGTTCTTGAGAGACTCCGATTCCCAAGAATTAGTGACATACTTGTAATATGGAACAGAAAATATCGCTTACCATATTTTACGCCACCGGAAAGTTAAAACCCTCTCTGCGGTGTAGATTGTTTTACGAGAGTGGTTTTTATTCATTTCGATAACCTCAGTTGAACAGAAAATGAGAAAGAAGTTCTCAGTTATATATTTTAAGGTTAATGAGTAACATTTATCATGGACTGGTATCATTTGGAGAGCCACTGAGAACGTGAGAGTACTGGATAGCTACTTTGTCCTAGTATGGAACCGCTTAGCAGTATACACCCACCACCCGGCTAGGGCTTCAACTCAGAACCTTCAGCATTTACGACGAATGCTTTCACCATTTAACCACTGGGTCGGAGTATAACAATCCAGAGTTTCCTAATCCTAATCCCACCAATTCTCGACATAGCGCTACTGTCATCCAAGGTCTTCAGCTGACATCCAATTTACTTCCGACTAGCTAACCCCCCCCCCACGGTCGAAGTTCTCCAAATAATGTCAGTCTATGATTAATGCTACCTTAAATTCTCAGTTGTTGGTGATGTTGTCCAACAGGTTGGGTTTGAAACTATAAAAGAAGTAGGTCAGTAGTGCATTCACAAGTACAAAAATCCAATGCCATTTTACACTCTTAATCTGTTCCTTATGTGCAACAGGAAAACAGGTTTCGCTTTCGGAACTGGGCGGTTTCCGTTAATTTATCATTTATTCCATTTTCCATTTTTATTTCAAGTTGGATATTAGAGACTTGGTTAATTGTCTCAATCATTTTTTAATACTGAAAAAGAAAAACACTGCTCACTTAACCACTCCCCAAATCTCTGCCTGGTTAGTCAATTATTTCGCTTATTCTATGTCGTACCTCATCTCACTACCCCCTATGTGACTGATTGATTGATTGACTGATTGACTGACTGTTCTGTCATCAAATACGTCTCTTTGTTCACCTCACCAGGTTTATTTCCTTCAATTTTAATTCACATAAAGTTATTTTTGGGATATATCACTTTGATTGACTGTTTGATAACCGGTTTATGTGATATGTATTATATATATAATGTTAACTAAAATTTATCTCAATATCTGTTGTTTCCTTCTCTGCATATATTGAAGTAATAAAGTAGCCTGATAAGTTTATTTATATTATTGAGTCAACAAAAAACAGCAACTCTGTGTAGCAATGTCGCGTGAATTCAGTATGATCTCACATAAATAGGGAATAAATAACAATTTGAAGTTGTCGCCATTAGTTCTAGCTGAAGTTGACTGACATTGAAATATTCCGCAATACAGAAGGGTGTTCTCTAGCGATGTAAATTTTCAGATTTTGTTGAAGATATGTGAAACTTACTAATTAGAATGTTCTGTTTCAACAAGTAGCTGTTATAACTTATAATTTTCCCTTTCTGATTGAACTGAATTGATTGGCCACTACTAGCATAACGGAGCATACAAGACATACGAATACCTCGATGTTGCCGGTTTTTTAGTCCTTGATATTAATGATGGATAGTGGCCAGCAGTGGAATCCAGGAGGTACGTTGTATCCTAGTTGGGAATCACTAGCTAGATGTACCTGCTTCAATTAACGGCAGGGACTTGCCAGGTATAACATTAGAGCTATATTATACCCGCCGCACAAGAAGTGGTTGCCGCGATCCAGTTCCTTAATGAACAACTCTTGGATGTCTGAAGCAACGGGTCCCAGCGAAAACAACACCACACACTGATAGGCAAGTACATCCAGTCTATGAATCCCAAATAGGACGAAACGCACGTTCTGCACTCCACTGCTAGCCACTATCCATCAACAGTATCAAGTATCTGTTATGCTTTATAATATGAATCCCATGCACTTATGAAAACATTATGGGTGGTAAGTGGTATCAGTTACACGAATAGTTGTTCACCTAAAGTCACTCTAAAATCTTCAAATGAAAGTCATATTTTTGATGACGTAGAATTGCTTTTATCAGCTTCCAGTGATGAAAAGATAAGAAGCCTGAAACATTGTCCTGTAGATGGCATGTATGGAAACACCCCTGAATGTGTACTTCATTAAGCAATTCAATACCCATCAAAAGCTGGAACTTGATTACTACTAAGAATTTTCATATCTTTTGGTCAAAAGTGATTATGAACGCACTATCTGAGG